GACCTTAGGGAGTGTGATGGATTGTAGAGTGGTAGAAGGCTAGTTAGGTACGCAGGAGCTAATTCAATTTTTTTTACAGGAGTTACATTTTGTAACTGATACGGAACTTAATAGGTAGACAGTGCAGAGACTGTAAAATTGGAGTAATACGATTATATTTTCTTGACCTGGTAAGGACTCTAGCCGCTGCATTTTGGACTACCTGTAGCTTGTTCATTGAAGATGCAGGACAACCAACTAACAGTGCATTACAATAGTCCAGTCTAGAGGTCATGAATGCATGAACTATCTTTTCTGCATCAGAATCAGGTAACATGTTTCGTAGCATGGCAATGTTTCTAAGATGGAAGAATGCTGTTTTTGTAACAAGAAAAATTTTATTTTTGCTGTCTCGTATATCACCCAGATTTTTGACTGTAGAGGAAGTAACTGTACATCCGTCTAGTTGCAAATTGTAATCGAAGAGATTCTGTGTACTGCTTTTTGGTCCAATAAGTAATATCTCTGTCTTAACCGAATTCAATAGGAGAACATTATTGGCCATCAAATCTTTTACATTTTTAATACACTCTGTTAGTTTAGATAATTTAGAAGTTTCTTCTGGTCTTGTTGAGATATATACCGTTTTGGCCCGAATATAAGACAACCTCCCTTTTTCCAGATGTACCTTTTGGAAAAAGGCTTTTTAAAAAACACATCTTGTTTTTTCTCAGTAAAACACATTTTGTCTTCAATTATTTTCATATTGCATATTTTTCCTATTTTAATTTTTGTTTTGAAAGTATGGTAAAAACTGGTCAAATGTACCAACAATCACATTTATAAATATACACTTTTTGATATAAAAAAAAAACAGGTAGCCCATCTGAATTAGGACATTTAGGCTATCCATCTAATAGTAGCCTACCAAAATCTTATTAACAGTAGAAGTTAAATCTTACTGTAGTCTTCAAATCTGGGTACTGTCTTACGTTTTCAAATCACAAAGGGAGTTTGGTCCCATCAGGCTAACGTGACAGTCACGACTCATGCAGCTGTAAGGTTTTCTGCTTCTTTTGTTTGTACTTGCGATCTTTACAACACGCATTACTTTACGTATTTCATGGCACACTCGTTTTATGCGTATTTGGCACCACCTATTGTTGTGGGTGTATTATTGACATGTCAAAGTCTAGACCCTGGTGAGGTGTGAGGGCCAGGCAGAGGCACTAATGTAAGTGTTCATTGGTGAGTGTGCTGCGGTATGCGTTTTTCACCATGTTCATGGTTGAAAAGGCAGATTCACAGCAGTACGCTGAGGGAAACATGGTGATAATTTGAAGGGCCATCTTCTGCAGGAGACGAACACCTGCTGCAGTAACCATCTTCGTCCAGAAGGTGACAGGGTCACAGTGAGATTCCTGCAGTGCTAGGTTTTCTTGGAGATCAATTAGCTCTGTTTGCAGAGAAGCAGCATTGGCCCATGGGAAGACTTTCGTGGCTTCAGTTGAGAATTCTGCAATATTTTTTGACAAAAAAATGGATTTTCGATGCACAACAAGACTTGTTTTCCCAGAGGGAAATCTTCAAAGCGAGTTTGGACATTTTTAATCGGCTTTTCCAGGAATTCAGCATAATTGTGATGGTGATGTTTTCCCGCAGTCTGATCCAAAAGTCTTGGGAAGTGAAGCAGGTTCTGCTGTAAGTCACATTTGAACACCTCCAGCTTCCTCTGGAAACACTGGCCCATGGGAAGACTTTCGTGGCTTCAGTTGAGAATTCTGCAATATTTTTTGACAAAAAAATGGATTTTCGATGCACAACAAGACTTGTTTTCCCAGAGGGAAATCTTCAAAGCGAGTTTGGACATTTTTAATCGGCTTTTCCAGGAATTCAGCATAATTGTGATGGTGATGTTTTCCCGCAGTCTGATCCAAAAGTCTTGGGAAGTGAAGCAGGTTCTGCTGTAAGTCACATTTGAACACCTCCAGCTTCCTCTGGAAAGCATGGACAGCTGACATGAGGTCACACACTGTGCTGTTTTTGCCCTGGAGCTTCATATTAAGGTCATTGAGATGGGAAGTAATGTCAGTTAGAAAAGCAAAAACTTCCATTTCCTCTTCATTCTTCATGAAATCCACAAATGGTTTGGCTTTTGCACTCTTCTGATTCAACAGAAATGTCTCCAGCTCTTTCCACAGTGCCCAAAACTGCTCCAGTACCTTGCCTTTACTAAGCCACCAAACATTGTTGTGAAGAAGCAAATCATCAAATGTTGCATTCACCTCTATTAGAAATGAGCGCAACAAATGATGTTGCAGAGCAGAGGATGTTCTCAGATAGCTGACAAGTTTCATGACTGTTGTCATTACTTCTGAGTAGGGGTGTGCGATATATATATCGTCTGCGATAATATCGTAATTGTTGTTTTAACGATGTGTGATTTGACATTATCGAGTATTTTGCAAAAACCATTCAAAACATCCCTACACGCATACATTACGTGAAGCCTAGACTAGTGCGTGTGCGCATTTAGTGTTTTCTTTCACTGCATGATTCAGTCTATTAAAATGGATTTAGAATGATCACAAATTCAAGACATGATGGCAGAAAATGTATATATTTATACCACTTCATATAGTTATTCAATTTCACATGAAGAGTGACGTTTTTTCTCCCAAAATTACCATGATTACAAATGTGACATTGAATTCAATAAACAATAAGTTAATTAAGAGACTTACGTTTTAGACACCATATTGCTTGTTTTTGCTCTATTTTGCCAACAAAAATCATTCCGAATACAGCCACAGCGCTGTTTTGTGTCTCTGAGCAACATGACGGTGTTTCGTTCTTGAATGAATCAACCGTTTAAATGATTCGGTTCAATCGCAATGACTCACTTATTAACAGTGATTTGCTGCTACCTGCTGATGGTTTTAATTTCAAATTTCGGATTTTTCTTTCTTTTCTTTTTGATTTTTTTCATGTTTTAAATCATTTCAAATATCAGTATTCAACCTTTTATGTTTAGTATATATAAAAACATTATTTATGCATTTGTAATTGCAGGTTAAATGCATTCATGTCTTGCATTAAACAAAATACATGTGTGTAAATACATCTAAATGCCACTTCAGATACAGCTTCTGTGTTGATTTAATTTGCTTGGTAACAGCCCAAATGTCTTATTATTCTAATTCCCTGATTAAATGTAAGAATTTGACTCAAAAGATAATGGACACTTTTAGAAAAAATGGCTTTATAAAGGTAAAAATGCCCATAAAATGCAAAAATCAGTTTAAACTTATTGGAAAAGATTAATTTCTATCAGTATGAACTGAGCACCACACAGAATATGAAGAATATAAAAAATATTATGAGTCAGCTGTCTTCGGCAGCCCTTAAGATACCACCAGCACAATAACACACTCAGCAAAATATTGTCTAGTTATCGTTATCGATAAAATCCCAGAAAATATTACTTCTGAGTACCTTTCTCCAAGGCTGGCACACAAAAACATCTGGTGAATTATGCAGTGGTATGCCATGAGGTCAGGGTGGTGAGTTCTCAAGTGTGACACTAATCCCCTCTCTCTCCCAATCATACATGGCGCGCCATCAGTAGCAATGGAGTTAACCACAATAAGAGTTAAGTCACCTTTATTTATATAGCGCTTTTAACAATACAGATTGTGTCAAAGCAACTGAACAGCATTAATTAGGAAAATAGTGTCAATAATGCAAAATGACAATAGTAAACACTAATTTTTCAGTTAAAGACAGTTCATCATTGAATTCAGTGATGTCAACATCCAGCTCAGTTTAAATAATATCTTTGCAATTATGTCAACGATATCGCCGGAAATGAAGTGTCCCCAACTAAGCAAGCCAGAGGCGACAGCGGCAAGGAACCAAAACTCCATCGGTGACAGAATGGAGAAAAAACCTTGGGAGAAACCAGGCTCAGGCGGGGGGCCAGTTCTCCTCTGACCAGACAAACCAGCAGTACAGTTCCAGGCTGCAGCAAAGTCAGATTGTGCAGAGGACTCATCTGGTTGGGTAGAGCAAAAGCCATCATAGCAGTTATTTGAGATTTGGCTTACTAGTCAAATGAAGCGTAGCGTCCTGTCCGACAGGACTTCTGTTTTTTACTTTCAGTCTACTTTTTATGTAATTCTCAGAAATTGTGCTTTATGTACTACTCAGAAATATATTTAAAATGACATTTAAGTATACCTGACTTATACTTTAAAAAAAAAAGTCTAAATATATTTGAGCTATACTTGTGCTTCGGGAATCCATGTTTTCATTGTTATACGGTAGGGGGCGCTATTACACATCTTCTGTACAGAATTTCCAAAACACGAGTGAAGAAGAAACCAAAACAACAGATGCTTCCACACGTAATCTAACACAATCAGACATAAAACAGCATCAAAACTGTGTAACATTATGGAATAAAATGTCGACCCATGAAGAGGTAATGACTGTCAAGCTTTGGGGTGTTGATCGACTCCATCTTCGTTTTGATTTTTTTTTTGTATCTTTTTTGCTCAAAATGTTTATTTATTTCTTAAATTTTTATTTATTTATGAAACTTACCCACATTCAAGTGTTTATAAAAAAGAATGCATGAAGCTAGAATAAAATGTTTTTGTTTACAAGCAGATACCCTGGGGCCTGTTTCATAAAACAAGTTTACCAAATAAGCCAGGTTTATTTCATTTAGTCTGACTTATTGTCAGTTGATTTGGTTCAAAATAAGTCAGACTAACTGAAATAAGCCTGGCTTATTTGGTAAACTTGTTTTGTGGAACAGGCCCTTGTTCTTTCTTTTGATGTTTTGTGCGTTCAGATATTCATATAATCAAATATATACAAATTAATACCTAAATAGGGACATAGTAGTATACTTAAAATATGATGTAAAGTTCACTTAAAGAAAACTTACAAGTATACTTGCAGTATAAAACTACTAAACTAGTAGTTTACTGAGACTGTACTTTAGTGTACTAAAAATGCTACAAGTATTTATTTAGTAAACTATCAGTATACCTGTAAGTTCACTTTTAGTATAGTTGCAGTACAAACTAAAAACATGTATGTAATCTAGTTGTGTACTCAAAGTTTACTACTGTTATACTTAAAGTATACTTTTAAATTCTAGAAAGTGGGCCAATTTAGTCCCAAGGAGTATTGAAATAGTACACTTACATCATTGTCATCGGAGACTCAAATGTGGGCAAGACCTGTTTAAGCTTCCGCTTCACCGGCGGAGCCTTCCCCTGTAAGACTGAAGCCACCATCGGCGTGGATTTCAGGGAGAAAGCCGTGGAGCTCGAGGGCGAGAAAATAAAGGTGTGATTTATTGTTGGGGTTGGTCCTGTCACGAAGGCCGATATCTCGTTATATCGCGACTGTATTGTGAGTTTCAGTGGAAGTGTGACAGACAGCAGCATCACGAGGAAGCTCAATGTTTACATTCCGAGTAAGAATCACAGTAATGACCCTTTCCGATGTTGCATGTTGCATCTAATAGGCGTAGTTTCTTTCAAGACGAATCCAAAATACGTGTCATAATGTCGACAGTTTAATTCAAGTTTTACTTTGTCTAAGATGTTCATTACCTGGTCCAAACTGTTCATTAGCTGGTTCAAACTGTCTTAATCTGGTGGAAGCTGATACAGCTTATTTTATGATTATCTACTGTAGTTTGTCATATCAACATAAGGTGGATTTCAAAAGCTTATAAACCATTTAGACCACCTTAGACCATCTAGAAACTAGTGCTGGGCGGTATGACCAAACATTTATATCACGGTATTTTTCGAAAGTAAACTGGTTTTACGGTATATGACGGTGTATTTTTTATCATGCATGACCAGGTGTTAACCATATTTTCTACTGATTGAGAGGAAATACTGCGGTATATTGACTTAGAATGCCCTATTTTACTGTCATGATGAGTGAATGTTGTCAAAAAATACCACACTAAATAGTGACTAAACACGACCCCTTTTAATACATGTTAACTAGGAGTCACTCATTTATAATCGCGGCATCATCTGATAAAATCAACATGCATCTACACTAAAGAGCGGCTATGCGGTTGTATTGGCTATATTACTTTTTTGTCTGAGTCTGAGTAACAAACTAAAAAAAAAATTGCATATGATTTACGATTATGATTTTAAACAATCAGTAAGCGACAGGTGCTTGGAAACGCTGTTTTGTACTCATTTATTGACGAGTCGAATGCGCTGCTTCTCTGCCGCTCACTGCACAGAACAGACGCCGAGAGAGGTGACACTTCTCCGGGAAAGTCAGACCTCTCGTTCGCGGGACAGCACTGGCGAAATCCTCCAACTGAACCATAGCTAAGGTTTATCCCAAAAAGTCGCTAGGTTTGTCAGTATGAATATTCTACGGAAAAAGCCACTAAAAGGGTCTGAAAGTTGCTAAATCTAGTGCTAAAGTTGTGCTCGTGTGTGTGTGAGACGCGGGAGCTGATGGCAGCAGGTGGTGGATATTTGTGGCGGTCAGTGTGGATGTTGTGGATGAGTTCTTCTGTGTCATCACGTTCTATTAGTTCTACAGCTTCAGTTTCGGAACTTTCACGCTTCGTAACACATACAGCTGTGCCCTCACCACAGTGCAACAGTGAAAAGGGACCCCTTTCAAACAGTGCCACGTTCCAAACGTTGTTTAAGTGACATACACCGGTATTGCGGTATTTTATAAATTCATATCATAACAAAAATAAACACCGGTATTCGGTAGGAACCGGTATACCGCCCAGCACTACTAGAAACTAACACAGCTACATGTAATCTTAAATAAACTAGATTGTTCAGTACAGATTTTATGGTATTGTTCACCAACACAATCTTTTGTAAAAAAAGTCTTTTTTTTTCTTCTTCTTTTTATTATTCATACAAAACAATACAATAGATTGGTGAAAAGAACATAATATGCATGCATAGATAACACATTATTTATCTATATATATCTCTGTGTGTGTGTATATATGCTTGTGATTGAAATCAGTCAGCTGAGTTCATTTAACCCTTTAATATATAATTTATTAAATCACAATCGTAATGTTTCTTTATGTTTTATGATGAGTAAAGTGCAAAGCTATGACCCATAGTAATTTGGATTTAACCTTGAATAGTTCAAAGTTGTTCAATGTTCAAAGTTGATTTATTTATTGTCATTCTAATCAGTTTCTTTCTGGTGGATTAGTTTTCTCATTTAATTTCTCTGCAACCTTGAAATTTGTTGTTTGTCTTGTTTCTTCTCTAACAGGTACAAGTATGGGACACAGCGGGCCAGGAGCGCTTTCGGAAGAGCATGGTGGAGCACTACTACCGCAATGTGCATGCCGTCGTATTTGTATACGACGTCACAAAAATGGCCTCATTCCAGAATCTAAAGACCTGGATTCAGGAGTGCAACGGGCACAGGGTGTCATCCTCGGTGCCTCGTGTTCTGGTGGGTAACAAATGTGACCTAGTTGACCAGATCCAGGTCCCTTCCAACACTGCCCTCAAGTTTGCCGATGCCCATAACATGCTACTGTTTGAAACATCAGCCAAAGATCCCAAGGAGAGCCAGAATGTGGACTCCATTTTCATGTGCCTGGCGTGTCGTCTAAAAGCCCAAAAGTCCCTGATCTACAGAGACGTGGAGAGAGAAGACGGCAGAGTGAGGCTGACACATCAGCCCGACCCTAAGAGTAACTGCCCGTGTTGAGGACCTTAAACTGTGAAATTATTAACATTGATAATTCACAATGCAAGGATGTGCCTGCAACTAATTTTAGTTACTTTATGACAGCTGCTCCATGAACTGTTTTTTTTTTCTTTGAGTGTGCTTATCTATCATGTTCTTTTTTCAATTACACCATCACTAAACAGGCAAATCCCACAAAACCTGTCAAGAACATGTTTAAGTCATCTCAAAATCAAAAGAAAGAAATGAGAAATTACGTTTTGCTGACAGAAAATTATGCCTTTTAAGACATTATTTTCATGACAATTAAGCACCCTTTCCCCATTACTGCAATGAAAATCATTGCCGTAATGCAAAATATTTATATATATGTACTTCCTTTCATTTATGCTGATTTAAATAAAAAAAATTGTAATACAGTAGTGAAACTCTAATGACAATCAGTTTTAAAAACATCTAAACTAAAAAAAAAAAAGATTTTTGGTGAGGAAATGTGTTGAATTTCCATTAAAAAATGTCAAAGTGCAAAAAATCACTGATGGCACTATAATATGTTTCATTTTATTAAAGGGATCATATGATGCTGCTAAAAAGAACATTATTTTGTGTATTTGGTGTAATGAAATGTGTTTATGCGGTTTAAGGTTAAAAAAACACATTATTTTCCACATACTGTACATTATTGTATCTCCTCTATGCCCCGCCTTTCTGAAACGCGGCGATTTTTACAAAGCTCATCTGTCTGAAAAGCGAGGTGTGCTGTGATTGGCCAGCTATCCAGTGCGTTGTGATTGGCCGAATACCTCAAGCGTGTGACGGAAATGTTACGCCCCTACCATACTGATGCCCTGTCCGGCCGGAGCGACAAGACAAAAACATGAAAACCCATCATATACTAGGCATTTGTTGCATCCAGTGGGGACATAATTACAGATTATAATGACTTATACTGTCTTTTTACACGTTGCGTTGCATCGTACCGCTTAAACATAAAACCATGTCTGCATTTGTGATTGGAGAAATGACAAACAACAAGCATTACTCTACACTGCTCAAAA